AAAGATAATACCTATCAGAAAAGAGCCTAAATAGGAGGAGAGAGTTACAACAAATTCCTAAAGATCAGTAACTATATAATAGATTTCTATAGTAGTAAGGAATCCTAGAGTAAGCAGTAATCAGCCGTTATTACGCCCCCGCAAGTTGGTGGTGTCAACAACACCCAACTTGGAAAATTGCTTGACAAACGAGCCTCTTGGAAGTGGTTTAGTAATTATATTTGCCACTTGATCAGCCGAGTGAAGGTGTTGAACTTCGATTTCCTTGTTTTGAACTTGTTCACGAACAAAGTGAAAGTCAATAGCAATATGCTTCATACGACTATGAAACACCGAGTTGGCGCAAATGTAGGTGGTACTGACATTGTCACAAAAGATCTAAGGAGTGGCTGATATACGGAAGCGAAGCTCATTGAGTAAACTTCTTAGCCAATTGGTCTCAGAGACAGCCCGATATTCTACTTCTGTGGAGGAACGGGAAACAAATCTTTGCTTCTTAGAGGACTATGATATCGGAGAGCTGCCAAGGTAAACAACATAACCTGTAGTGGAGGTTCGATCAAGAGGATCTCCAGCCCAGTCAGAATCCGAGTAGACTAGAAGACCGATGGTCACGTTCTTTAGCAATTCGGAGACCAAACGAAGATGTCTGGTGAAGATACCGAAGGAGATGCTTCATGGCTGTCCAATGAGATATTAAGGGTTGGTGCATGGACTGTGAGAGTTTGCTAACATCAAAAGCAATGTCCGGACGTGTAAAGGAATGATAATGAAGTTTACCAATTATCCGCCGATATAGAGAGCCATCTACTAGAGAATCTTCAGCAGATTCTGGGAAAACAACAGTAAAAACCATTGGCGTTGGAACACCCTTGCAATTGTGCATATTAACTTCCTGTAATAGATCTGTTATGTATTTTTGTTGAGACAACAAAAGACCACCTGGATAAGAAAAGACTTCAACACCAAGGAAATAATGATGTGGACCAAGATCCTTTAGTGAGAATCGGGTTGCAGGTTTTACATTAATGTTTTGAACACCACGAATTTGATTGCCCGTAACAATTATGTCATCAACATAAACTAGTATATAAGTAGTAAACTCAGAATTATGCATGATGAACAATGATGAATCAGATTGGGATTTAATAAATCCCGAAGTAAGAAAATAATTTTTGAGTTCAGTGTACCAGGCCCTTGGAGCTTGTTTAAGGCCATATATAGCTTTGTGCAGCTTGCAAACATGTGTAGGATGTGTAAAAGCTTCGAAACCAGGTGGTTGACACATATAGACCTCCTCGTCAAGACGACCTTGCAGGAAGGCATTATTGATATCGAGTTGACGGATGGGCCAACTCTGTTGTGTCGCAATTGCAAGAACGAGTCGAACAGTTGCGTGCTTTACCACAGGACTAAAAGTACATTGAAAATCAAGGCCAGGTCGTTGTGTGAACCCTTTGGCAACTAGGCGAGCTTTATACTTGTCAACAGAACCATCAGGATGATATTTAACTCGAAAAAGTCACTTACAATCCACCACATTTTTCGAAGGATCACATACCAGATCCTATGTCCGGTTCCGAACTAAGGCTTCAAATTCATTTTTCATAGCTTCATGCCAGTGTGGGACTTGTTGAGCTTGCTTAAAGGTTCTAGGTATGGAGGAAGTGGTTTGAACAACAGTGTGAAATTGTTTGGGCTTAAGGCTGTTGGTTTTAGACCGAGTAATCATATGATGAGTGGATGTCAATGTAGAGTCAGAGGCAACATGGAAGGTTGTGAGGCGATGGAAAGTGGGGCAGGTGGCGAGGAAAAAGGTTGTATCATAGGGTTCTGGGTCAAAGGTCTAGTGGACTTATTTTGGCGCTGGTAAGTGATTATTGTGGATTGAGGCTGAGCGTTTAAATAGGGAGAAGGGTGAACTGGTGAGGCAGAACGATTTGGTTGAGGGGAATCATGGCTGGCAATTGAGTTTGGGGTGGCAAGAGGAGGGGGCAGAAAAGATGTTGGAGAAGGAGAGGAAGTGTTAGATAAGTGAGAAACCGAATTACCTGAGATGGTGGCACCTGTTGGGGCAGAAGAAACGAGTGAGTGAGTGTCCACAGGCTGTTGTACATTCTGAGTAGGAAGCTCATAACAGACATTTGAACTCAAAGTATTATCCAATTGTGGTTGTTCAGTTGAACAAATCTCCCAAGATACATTTTTTATTGAGTGTAATTTTCAAATGGGAAAAAATATTTTCAAATGGGAACTGATTTTCCAGAAGTAAGGCATCACGTGATAAATAAATTTTGAAAGTTAAAGGATCAAAACATTGATGGCAGTAATGTTTATTTGAAAATCCTAAATAAACACATGGTGTCGAACGAGGCTCTAATTTATTTTTGGCATATGATTTGAGCCATGGATAACACAAGCATCCAGATACTTCAATAGAGTCATACTTGGGCATAGTTTGAAATAAAATTTCAAAGGGGCTCTTATGTTGAAGATTGGGTGTAGTGAGCCTGTTTATTAAGATAAACAGCTTGTTGACAGGCAAAATTCCAAAAGTGTGAGGGTAAAGATGCTTGGTGCAACAAGGTTCTAGCAGTTTCAATAACATGTCGGTGTCGTTTTTCGACTAGGGCAACTCTTTGCGGAGTATACGATGGTGACATTAAGTGTTCTATGCCATGTGTTTTGAGATAGGACTGTAAACATTGAAATTCACCACCACCGTCGGTGTAAAGAGATTGAATTTTGGTGTTGAATTTGCGTTCAAACAATGGACGCAAAGTTTGAAAAACTTCAAGCGTTTCATTTTTTGATTTCAAAGTGAACGACCACATGTATTTTGAAAATTGGTCGACAAATAACACATAATATCTTCTTTTATCAATTGACAAAATCGGAGACAGACCCCATAAATCGCTATAAAGGATTTGAGTGGCTTGTTACTTTGTAATGAATTTTCGGAAAAATCAACCAGTGCATTTTATTTGAATAACAGGAATTACAAATGGAACTAGCTTTAGGATCTGAAACAGGAAGGGAAAAATTATTCAAGATAGTATTTAAAATGCGACGACTAGGATGACCTAAATGCCGATGCCACAGGTGAATTGGAACAACCACATTGCATTGAGGAGGACGATGTGCACAACCCGGTGGCCACTCGTACAACCCATCTTTGTTCTGCCCGTGAAATAGAGATGCCCCCGTACTCAGATCCTTCACAAGATAATGAACAAGAAAGAATTCAATGGATGAATGATTATCACGACAAAACTTAGAAACAGAAATAAGGTTACTTTTTATGGCAGGAGAACATAAGGTATTGAGAAGTTTAAAATTATGATTTGAAGCACTTATTTAAGAGTTACCAGTATGGGATATTGGTATGGTGTTACCATTGCCCATAGTTATCTCTTCGGTGCCGTGGTAATCATGTACCGTGGTTAGGCTTTGAGCATCAAATGCAATATGATGAGTGGCTCCGCTGTCCACGATCCACGGGGTCTGTTGAGGAGAAAAACGAGCAGCAAAGTTTGCCCGAGCTTGCAGATGATCATGTGACTGCAATCTGCATACTCTAGCAGAATGACCTACACGATCACATAGTTGGCAGCGAAGGTTTTTGTCAAAGGGCTGCTGCTGGTTGTTTCTTCGGGGGCGCCATGGTTGTGTTTGCCATTGCTGATTGTTGGCAGGTGCATTTGGACCTGGACGGCGATTGTTGGAGTTAGGATTATTACCCTGACGAGGAGGAGTTGGTGTAGTCTTTTGTGCTACAGCAGCGGTAATAGGTGTGGATAACGGCTTCTTGTCTTCCTCGTGCTTTAGGAAAAGCTCATGATCCAGAAGCTTTTCATAAAGCTCTTCATAGGAAATTGTAGAATCCCGAGCACGAATGGCAGCAGAGAGTTCGCGAAATTCAGATCCGAGTCCACTAAGTATTTTGACGATGAGTTCGGTGTTTGATACAGGGGCACCAGCAGTTGCAAGTTCATCATAGATCGATCGAACTTGATGAAGATAATCGGTGACCGGACGAGAGTCTTTAGTGAGGCGAGCCAATCGATCTCGCAAGCTGAAAATTCTTGTTTGAGATTTGTTCGCATACGCAATATGCAAAGCATCCCAGGCAGCTTTGGGGGAGACTACAACCGCAACAGTAGGGGCAAGTGTAGGATCAACAGAGGCCAAGATAGTATTTTAAATTAACTGTTCTTGGCGATACCAGGGAACAAATGCAGGGTTATCCACATCTTGATTGTTTTGAGAGATGGTGCGTGTAAGGGCAGGGATGGAGCCATCGAGATGCCCATAGAGATTGTGGCCACGCATAAGCATTGAAACTTGAGCTTTCCACAGATAGTGACTGCCAGTTAATTTTTTGGGCAGTTGCATAAGGGGATTGAATTGGACAATAGTAATGGCGTTGTTGACTCCATCAGCATTTGTCACAAAAATATTGGCGGCCATTTGAGTGGTTGGGCTAGTAAGCAGGAAAAAAAAATAGAGGATCGACTCGTGGGAGTTTAGTGTCGCTCTGATACCATAAAAGAGAAGAAAGTAGAAGATAGAAAATACTGCGATGTTATTTGATCGTATGGCAGACCATTTATACAGATATGTACAACAGATGCAGCAACAAGATAAACTTGAAAAAGATAATACCTATCAGAAAAGAGCCTAAATAGGAGGAGAGAGTTACAACAAATTCCTAAAGATCAGTAACTACAAAATAGAATTCTACAGTAGTAAGGAATCCTAGAGTAAGTCAGCCGTTATTACTTTTAAGCATGAAAGGACAGGATTCTTTTTAATTTTGTGAAAAAAAATGTGATGACTATAGGCTTATGAAGTTATGTTTTGTCGCACTTGGTAACTGGCATAATGTGATCTTTAATTATCCTTCTCTTCTCTTTTCAACTTCCAAACCTGTGCATATCTGCTCTATGATGCCAAAAGTCTTATAATTGATTGCACTGATTAAAAAAGAAAGGAAGTCTTATGATTGATTGCTTATGCAAGCATTATACAGGAACAAGACACAAAAGCGAGTAACTGCTCTTAACAGAGAGCTTCCTCCACGAAATGAGCAATTTGTCTTAGATTTTGGACAGCTGCAGAGCCAATTTGCTGTAAGTTTTTTCACTTGGAAAATAATTGCTCCGTTAGATACTTACGTCTTTTATCTTCTATGTGTTACATCTGATAAAATCTGTGTCTTACATGTTATCCCAGGACCAGGAACAACTGCGTGCGGTGGCAGAATCTGTTCTTATTTCTCTGGTTATTCAGTGCAGCAGTCACGCACCTCATGCAGAATTTCTTCTCTTCGCCATATGCAGTTTGTCTAGTATAGGATACATAAACTGGGATACCTTCTTGCCTTCTCTTCTTTCCTCAGTTTCATCTACGGAGATATCCGCAAGTCAGGGCAATCAGCCATCTGGTGCGGTCTCTTCTGCTAATTTAACACAGTCTGGATTGCTTCCATCTTCCGCCGCAGTAGCGAGTACCTCTAATTTTCATTCATCAAATCCTGCATCTCCTTTGCCCACTGTCCATGGTATTGGGTCCCCTGTTCAGTCAGCAGCTGAACCATCATCTTCTGCTGCTTTGTCTCCCATGAAGTCTTCTGATATTAATGGCACTAGCCAACAGTCCATCGCAAAAGTGAATTTGTTGACAAGGGATAGTGCTGCAAGCAGTCTGCGACAGATATGTTGCAAAATTATTTTAAGTGGTCTAGATTCTAGTCTTAAGCCAGGAACACATGCCGAAGTTTTCCACCATATGTTGAACTGGTTGATTTATTGGGACCAAAAGTTACATGGTGTTGATGAATTTGATAGTGCAAAATATTGGAAACCAGATAAGGCCCTAATTGAGTGGCTACACAGCTGTTTAGATGTTATTTGGTTGCTGGTAGAGAATGATAAATGCCGCATACCGTTTTATGAACTTCTCCGGAGTGGGTTGCAGTTTTTAGAAAACATCCCAGATGATGAAGCTCTGTTCACACTTATTTTGGAGATCCATCGGAGGCGAGATATGATGGCTATGCATATGCAAATGTTGGATCAACACCTTCACTGCCCTACATTTGGGACCCCTCGACTTCTGCCTCAAGCCACTGCAAATTCGTCCGGTGAAGCAGTTACTAATATGAGATATTCACCAATTACATATCCTAGTGTGCTTGGGGAACCACTGCATGGAGAGGTATGTATATGTGATATCTTATTAGAAACATGTTAAAATACTGTGTAGAGGCTTACTGATAAAAATGTGAATAGAAAAAAAGAAATGTTTATAGGGAATCTGTTTGCTTGAGAATGAAGGAGCAGGTGAGACATCTTCCAGACTGAAAGAACATTTTAACATCAATTTTCAGCAGTCCTCTTAGTCTCCTTAACATCAACAATAATATATGTTCTATCTATGATAGAAAATTCATATACAACTTTGTTTTCTGCCAGTCTTTAGTCGAAGAAGGATAGTAGCGTTCTAATGTGCTTCAATTATTTTTGACAAAATGGTTTTGGTCCCTATGATATCAAAAAGAAAAAAAAAGAAGAAATTCTAGAACATCACTGTAGTGCAATGAAAGTAACAAACCATCGGCTACTAGACAAAGAAATAGTTTGGGTTGGACATACATCAGAATGAATAGTCATAAACGGAGTTGTGCTTCTATTCACACGCATCACAGGACAAAGATTCAAATCGAGTCCTTGAAAACAAATCGGGTTATAACTTCTTCAAAACAAAGAATGATGGGTGTCCTAACTGTCTATGCTGTTATATTATTTCTTGGTTGACATCCTTATTTTCCCCAAAAAAGGCTTGACTAGTGTTTTGAGTCACATCTAATATATACAAGTCATCACGCAATCTACCATTGCCAATCCTTTTCCCCGTTTGAAGATCCTGAAAAATACAATGATCGGGAAAGAACTCGATTTTGCAATTTAGAGCTTTGGTGATGGCACTAACAGATAAAAGATTGATAGGGAACTCGGGAACATGGAGCACGGATGATAGTTTAATATTAGGAGTACAAATGACAGAACCTGTTCCAGAGATAGGTGTTAATGAACCATTGGCTATTTTAACATTATCTCTTTTGGGACACGGAGAATAGTTTTGAATGTCTTTAGAAGAGCCTGTCATGTGTCTATTTGCACCATAATCGACAATCCAAGAATTAAAGTAATCAGCAAAGGCAGTACCTGGTTGCACATGATTGGATGTGACAACATTAGCAGAGTCAAGTTTGGCTAGGAGGCGACGTAGAAGCTTAATTCATCCGAAGACAAGATTTCTCCAGAAACCGTCTCCTTGAATGTCTCCATATTTCAGCCCAATCAGAAGGAGTTTGTGTTGCGGACAACCAACAAGAGAGAAAACTCGACCTATTTGATAAAAAAGGAACCCTAGTGCTGCGAGGGAGATAACTCACCTCAAAAAGGCAGCAATAGCTCTGATACCATGTAGATTTTGAGAAGAAGAAAATGCTTCTTGTATTTATGTGTATGTTTACATCCCATGAGCAAGGGAATTTATACAAAGCTCCTAATGCTAATTAAGGAAATAAAATAAATCTATACAACCAATCCAACTATCAAATCAAATCAAATAAAATCAGATCTCCTAAATATAATCAAATCTTCTGAAATCATGCTAATCAACACTCCTAAATCAAGTTTCCTTGAATCATGCTAATCAACAGTTATTTTCCGGCGGGGTTTGCTGGGGTTTGATTGCCGGAGGGTGTAGGACCCTGTAGTGGTGTTGGTTTTAGCACACCACTGAGGAAAACGTAGGTGACGCAATAACAGCCCTAGAAGTCGCCGGAAATTGATGCGCAACGACTGTCTGGCGGAGTTCTCTTTCCCAGATGTTTCTAACGCTCTATATCATGTGAGAAGTATAGCACGGAAAAGTTTTACTAATTATGTCTAAAGTGTTGTACAATGTCCTATTTATATACAATGATTACATAATAATAGGTATCTATTTCCCGATATGGGACACTATACATTACTAACTATTTAACAATTTATCTGTCATTTCTCTCTACTATTTAACCTTGTTTCATATTCCTAGTGGTATACTTTCTTGCCTAATTAAGAATTCTTTAAGCAATCCTTGCTTTGGTACTTCTGGCGATACTGTTGTTGTACGTACCAGGGAGTGTTTAGATGATTAAATTTTCACAATAAGGGCCTTGTTTTGTTAGTTTCTTTTGTGTGTCCATCTCAAGTTATTTACTATTAATACTTTAGTTCGTAAGAGCTACTGACGTCGCTTGAGAGAATTCTCTTTTGCAAGGCATGGATGATATAGGAGACTATATTGCAAACTAAGAATTTTTGCTTGCAAATCTAAAGAAGGGACAAGTCTTTTTATTTTTTTTTGGGGTGGGGAGGATTTGAGTCCCTATGAATAAAAAATTCAGAAAACACACTCATTGTGTGGGAACTGCTTGTACTGTTAGCTTTGGGAGTCGGACTATTATTATTATTATTATTATTATTATTATTATTATTATTATTACGGCTACTACTTTCTCTTGATACCGGTGATGTCCAAGCCAGCTTGGACGCACTTCCATTTTTTCATCTGGTACGTGCTATCTCCCCATAAGTAGAGGTATAGGGTAACTTTTCCCACCAAGGCTTAGGCAAACGGGAAGAAATCACCAAGTGTTTTTGATTCGAATCGTGGTCTCCCATTTTTTTTTTCCGTTTCACTTTATTGACCAGTAGGCCACATCCTTGGGTGCCCTTTGGAGTCAGATTATCTGTGGCTTAGGTTAATGAAAAGATAGTACAGGCAGCAACCAAGTGAACTGTATGCTATAGCTAGTGTTACCCATTCAAGTCCTTGCAAATCACATTTACATTTTCCTCATAATCTTTAGGACGGGGGTTCTAGGTGATAGTGATATACAGAAATCAAGTTACAACTCTTTATCTTATACACTTAGTCGAATCAGATTGTTAAATCATATTGGAGGCATATTCATGTATGCTGAGCTACTTATCTCAGTCAGAAGTGCTGCATCGGAAACGATGTCTGACCAAGAGATGAAATATGTAACTCGAGCTCCAAGGCCAGTTTCAATCTGCTTGAAACAATTATAGCATATAATGCATGTATCAGTTTTATCTATTTGTTTGTGCTAATGTTTATCTGTATATCGCCAGACCTTTATGTATCTTACATCGACCAGTGGTTATATCTTGAGGATATTCTGTCACTTGTGCAAAAGCTGATCTGTAATGCCTCTCTTTTATAGTTAAAAGAATCTTGGTGGTGCGTAAACTTACTTGCATTTATTTGGAAATAGGATCTTGCAGCATCCATTCAAAAAGGGAGTCTGGATTGGGAGCGAGCTTTGCGTATTCTAAAGCATGCTCTTTGTAACACTCCATCACCAGACTGGTGGAGGCGTGTGCTTCTCGTGGCTCCCTGTCACAGGCTTCATGCCCAGGCTCCAACTCCGGGTGCCGTTTTTACATCGGAAATGGTTTGCGAAGCAGCGATTGAAAGAATTGTTGAATTATTGAAGTTGACTAATTCAGGCAACATTCTCAAACTTCAAACTCTGCCTGAGATTGTGTTAGCAATTGCCAAATTTGTACTCTGTTTTTCCCCTTCTCTTTCTTATGATGTTATTATCAATATTACTAGTTGGTTAGAGTATTTCCAACATGATGCTTACCTTTTATATTCTGATTAAAAGAGTTGTAATATTTATTGTCTTGTGCAAGTAAATCATGTTAATCTGATACAGAACAAAAAGTACTGCTTTCCACAGTTGATTCAGAAAGGTCTATCCAAGGGCATGGCATAAAGCAAAGTGCCGATGCTTTGAAAGAAAAGTACAAGAAAACCTGAAAGTTTTTTCCAAAATTGTTGCACTATATCGGTTTATCTTGTCTAACTTTGACAATAAAATGTGCTGCTTGGTGTTTGCTGTGGGTGAGAAGTTAGAACTGTTCTCCTGGATGTGTGCCTCTAAGGAAAGGCCCTCTTGCATGCTTGGTCGCATAATATGTTCGCTCTTAGATAATGTGTGTTTAGTTAGTATATTGTTAACTTTAATGATTTACTCTGCTTCCTCGTAAGTGCTTTCCACCTTTGTAATGGACTTAGTTTGATAGCTTTTATTTGTTCTTCTTACTTCTGCAGAAATCAATTGCTGGCAGGAGTGGCTTATCTTCTCAGATATATTCTTTTTTCTCGTGAAAAGTGGATGCGTTGATTTTGTGGAGTTTGTGGACAAGTTAGTATTGCGACTTCAAGAGGGTGATCAACAAATACTTAGGACGAACCATGTTACGTGGTTACTTGCACAAATTATTCGGGTTGAACTAGTGATGAATGCTTTAAATACAGACTCAAGAAAGGTTTTCCATCTTCACTTTATACTGATCACTTTTTTAAGATAAAGAGGACATACACTGGTTGTACTTTAATACAATCGTTTTGTAGCAACCTTGATGTTTTTGGTGGTTGATTTTTTTTTCTTCATATTTATCTGTCTCTGGTTTTCGAGATTTCCTAAAGAATGATCGCGTAGTGGAAATGGCCCTCCACCATGGGGTGGTTCCAGTCACCAAGGGGGCAAGTTGGAAAAGCCGCTGTTGGCTCCTTGGGAAGTTTTGTGGGGGGTGGGGGTTGAAGTGTACCATAATTTAAAAAGAAAATTCCTCCTCCGGATGCAGAACCAGAAATCCGTCATTGGCAGTTCTTTTCATGTTTAAAAGCATTAGTATCTCAATCTTCTTGTACCTTTTTATTTTTAATTTTCTTCTTCCCGCAATTCATTAAGATATAACTTTGAGTAATTAAAGTAAGTTTTTGATGTTTGAGCCAATTGTAATATCTTTTTGGTGACTCTCACAATTTGCTGTTAGGTGGAGACAACCAGAAAAATTCTTTCGTTCCATAAAGAGGAGAAAAGCTCTGATCCCAATAATCCTCAAAGTATCCTACTTGATTTCATTAGCAGTTGTCAGAACTTGCGCATTTGGACACTAAATACAGCAACAAGAGAATACTTGAATAACGAGCAGCTACAAAAGGGAAAGCAAATTGATGAATGGTGGAGACAGGTTAACAAAGGTAATCCTTTCATTTAACTGTACCAGTTTAAAACATGTTCGTTCATTTCACAACAGATTTTAGATTCAACAAATAATGTGTAAACCAACAACATATCTATTGCCTCTCCCCTCCTCTATATTGGCTGCTTTTGTTTTTTGATGTTAAGGTCATTATTTCTTCTCTTTTGGGTCATTATTAATTTCATGTTTTTTCTTCTAATCTTACCAATTCCACCAAAACAATGAAAATGGACTGTGAGCACAGATAACTAGTAAAAACAATAATGCCACTTCTATTGTATTCAAGTTATTAAGGTGTTAAGACTTTTGGAATTAGTGTGGCTGAAATCATTTTGCTGAAGGGTTATATCTGATCACCACAAACCTAGGAAGATTCAAGGAAATTGAATTTGAATTATTTAACCCACAAGAACTCCTTGAAACAGGTAGAAAAGCAATAAAAGGGATAGATGGATTAGGAACTAGGCTTGAACGAATACAAGAACTCAACTATAGATTAGTTGAACCCGTGCAAACACTACAATAATCACTAATCAAAGGACAGAAGAAAAAAAGGATCAAATCAGATAATGAATGCAATTAGTAAACCCCAAGCAACAATTACAAGATATACCTAAGAGGGAAGGTAAAGGAACTCATACATGATACTTGAAACAAATCAAATAACAATCAATTACAAGATATAATCCAATGGAGAAGGGGAATAAACTCATACATGAATTATGTAACATGTCGTAATCTAAGAGGGGTTAATTGAAGAGAAATGGGACAGACCCCCAACTCACAAAGAGTATTCATTTTCATAATTTCATAACTAGGTAATGAAAAATAAACTCTAAGATGATTGCTTATACTAAGGGTGTGTTTGGTATGGAGGAAAACATTTTTCAGAAAATATTTTCCAACTTTTCCATGTTTGGTTGGCTTAAATGTTTTGGAAAATATTTTCTCCATGAACTCATTTTTGTCCAGAGGAAAATGTTTTTCCTATCAAGAGGAGGGAAACATTTTCCAAAACTATTTTACAAGCTTCCCCACCTTCTTTTCCTACTCCACTAACCCCCACCCTCAACCCTCGCCCACCTCCATCCCATAGTGTTTGCCTAAATTATATATTTTCCAAAAAAATATTTTCTACTCACGAACCAAACACTAAAAAATATTTTTCGAATTTTTTTTTCCACTCACCAACCAAACATGGAAAATAGTGATAAATCACTCATTTTCCAGGAATTCATACCAAACACACCCTAAGTCTAATTTAATAGCTAACATTTACCTTATTTAATTACCTTAAACTAGGCCTAAAAAATAGATGGGGCCGAATTACATAAATTTGGCTGACCTAGTAGCCTTGGGGATAGCGGATGATTACCTGTAATCGTGGATCCTGCCAACTGCTCCGTCTTCGCAATCGTGGTTCTGCCTCGCGATTGCTGCTTTACAACACACAACAAGCACATAAATAGTATTTCACAGAAATTGTTTTTATAATATAATGCTCAATAAGATCAAAATAGATATTCAACAAGAACATACATCTCAACATAATCTACACTTAGGACTTGTCATAAACAGTAGTGCAGAAAATTAATTAAACACTCTGATGAGTCCACGACAGCATGCACATTGCTCCAAATCTATCATGGCAGGATACATAGTGCCCCAAACATATTCCGTTTGCGAAAAAAATAATTTCCAATGCCCCAACGCCATTGCATGAAGCCACGCCACGCCACGCCACACCACACCACAAATCATATACTCCTTCTGTCCCAATTTATGTGGCGGAGCTCGGCTTTCGAGAGTTAAACTTCTTAATTTTGACTGTGAATTCGGACATAGAAACTTTAAGTTTTTTGAAACAAAATTTACATATTTGGAATTACATAAAAAGTACTATAAGTCACAATAATTAATAATTTAAAATATTTAAAAGGCATAAAACAATTCCAGCCAAAAAAAAATCGTTTCACTCTCGAAATACGAATTTCGCCTAATAAATTGGGATGAAGGGAGTATTAAATAATTTTTATATTTCTCAACAAAATAATATACATGCGGCTGGTTCAAATACCACTGATTATGCCAAGCATATGCTCGTCCCAACGCATAAACCAGACAGACAAACACATTTTTAAAATGGGTTTTGAAAAGTAACATCCAAGCTTAAAGTCTCACCTACCTCAACTCGTGATTAGAGCAATCTTTCCAATAGCCCATAACTATACTATTGGGTCTCTAGATCACCTCAAACTACACAAAAATGGATTTAGAATGGTCAAAACCCTTAGGGTGAACATTCTTTTAATTTGTAGAATAAGATAAACTCGCTGTCAAACATTGACCCAAAAAGTTAAATATGGTCTACGGGACTAAATTCCCGAACCATGTCCATCAACAGATTCTCCTCGGCCACATGATTCTAGAACACTAATCAAAATTAAATTTTAATAATGTTTGCCCTTTCAAATTGATGATTTAGGTTGAAGAACCCTAGGACTAGACTTTTCTCAATTTTTCAAAATTTCCCCTGTGTTTCTACCATTAAGTTTTTTCATAATCACGTACAACAACAACGACAACAACATCCCAGTATAATCCCACAAGTGAGGTCTGGGGAGGGTAGTATGTACGCAGACCTTACCCCTACCCCGAGGGGCAGAGAGGCCGTTTCCAGGAGACCCTCAGATCAAGAAAGCACCAAGTGACGATGTATTAGTACTATTGATAGACTCATAATATAATAACATAAAATACATAACATACATAAAAGAAATTAAAATAGCAAAATAACAGCCATATAAGAGAATATAGGAAATACGAGAGAGATGGAAGGTAAACTAATATCCAGCGTATAAAGCCCNTAGCTCCATCATACATGTCTTTAATCACCCTAATGTATGCAACCGGGACCCCTTTAGCCTCTAAGCAGCTCCATAAGACCTTCCTAGGTACCCTATCGTACGCTTTCTCTAGATCGATAAACACCGTGTGAAGATCCTTCTTCTTATCCCTGTATTGTTCCACCATCCTCCTAATAAGGTGGATAGCTTCTGTGGTAGATCGCCCCGGCATGAACCCGAACTGGTTGTCTGAAATAGACACCGTCCTTCGCACTCTCATTTCAACCACTCTCTCCCAGACTTTCATGGTATGACTCGGTAATTTGATACCCCTATAGTTGTTACAGCTCTGGATATCACCTTTGTTCTTATGCAATGAAACCATTGTACTCCACCTCCACTCTTCAGGCATCCTATTAGTCTTGAATATAACATTAAACAACCCAGTAAGCCATTCCAAGCCTGCTCTACCCACATCTCTCCAAAGTTCAATCGGGATTTCGTCTGGCCCGGTAGCTCTGCCCCTCCTCATCTTACGCATTGTCTCCATGACCTCATCGACCTCAATGTCCCTACAATAACTTAATTCATGAGGGCTGTCCGCATTCCTCAATTCACCTAGTGTAATATCCTGATCCCCTTCTTCATTTAGAAGTCTATGAAAGTAGGACCGCCATCTCCTCTTAATCTGGTCCTCCCCCGTCAAAACTTTGCCGTCATCATCTTTTATGCACCTCACTTGGTCCAGATCCCGAGCCGCCCTCTCTCTCACCTTAGCGAGTCGGAATAACTTCTTCTCCCCGCCTTTGTTCCCTAGTTCCTCATACAGACGAGCAAAAGCTGCTGTTCCTCATAATCACGTAATAAACTCAAATAAAAGTTTAGGATAATTACCTTGATGCTTTGGGTTGAAATTTCCTATTTTTATCCCCATTCTTTTTCTCTTTTTCTCCCTTTCTTTTCTTTTATTTGTCTGCGTTTTTCCCCTTTTGCGTTTCTGATTGGGTTGAAACCAGCGACTCCTTTTCCCCTTTTTCCAAGCTAACTCATTTTTCTCTTATTTATTTATTAAATTTTGCCTTCTTTTGATTAAAATACAAAATAACTTCCCCCAAACTAAATTGAGGTTATTACATTTTCCCCCACTGAAGATAACGTTTGTCCTCGAACGAGTTAAAAGTATACCTAACATCTCGAATAGCTACAGGTACTTGCTTCGCATGTCTGCATAGAACTCCCACGTAGCAACCTTTGTCGGATGTTTGCACCATAACACTTTCACTGAAGCAACCTTCTTCTACCTCAATTGTCGCATTTGTCTATTAACCGTGGATATTATACCTTCCTCGTAAGTTTGATTTTCATCTAGTTTCACCGCTCGAGTTGAACACTCTCGTCATGAACATATCGTCTAATCACAAACACATAAAACATATGATGTACAGTCAAACATTTTGATTTCAAAGTTAGTCTCAATGCCACTAATCCAATACTATCAATATCTCATACGAACTGTGAGCCATCTTACAGGAGAAAAATCTATTGTTGATATTTTGTTTAATTATAATACAATGGGCCCTATTTATACAATACATATCATACTCCTATTCTATGTGGGACTAGGACTAAATCATATTATTTACATGACTATCTAACACTCCACCTCAAGCCGGTGCATACAAATAGTATGTACCGACCTTGTTACATATGTAACTAATACGAGAACCAGTAAGGGACTTGGTGAGAATATCGGCATGCTGATCATTCGACTTCACAAACTTTGTAGCAATATCTTACGAGAGTGTCTTTTCTTTGACGAAGTGACAGTCAATCTCAATGTGTTTAGTTCTCTCATGGAACACCAGATTTGATGCAATATGAAGGGCAATTTGATTGTCACACACAAGTTCCATCTTGCTGATCTCACCAAATTTTAGCTTATTAAGCAAATGTTTGATCCAAACAAGCTCACATGTTGCCACAACCATTGCTCGATATTCTGCTTCTGCACTAGACCGAGCAACCACGTTCTGTTTCTTGCTCTTCCAAGACACCAAATTACCTCCTACTAAAACATAATATCCAGACGTAAAACGTCTATAAGAAGGTGATCCTGCCCGGTCAGCATCTGAGTACACAACAATTTGCTCATAGCCTCGATCTTCAAACAATAATCCTTTGCCTAGAGCTGATTTTATATATCGAATAATGCGGACAACTGCATTCCAATGGCTATCACAGGGAGAGTCAAGGAACTGACTTTCCACACTCACAGGAAAGGAAATGTCTGGTCTAGTCACTGTGAGATAATTTAATTTACCAACCAGCTGCCTATATCTTACAGGAAGCTAAGCGACTCCCCCTGTCCTGGCAGAAATTTAGAATTCGGATCCATAGAAGTGTCAACAGGTCTTCAGCATGTCATTCCTGTCTCCTCAAGAAGTGACAGGAATGACATGCTGAAGACCTGTTGACACTCCTATGGATCCGAATTCTAAATTTCTGTTAGGACAGGGGGAGCCTCTTAGCGATCCTGCAAGATATAGGTGGTTGGTTGGTAAATTAAATTACCTCACAGTGACTAGACCTGACATTTCCTTTCCTGTAAGTGTTTTGAGTCAGTTTATGTATTCTCCCTGTGATAGTCATTGGGATGCAGTTGTCCGCATTCTTCGGTATATAAAATCAGCTCCAGGCAAAGGCTTATTATTTGAGGATCGAGGTCATGAGCAGATCGTTGGATACTCAGATGCTGATTGGGCAGGATCACCTTCTGATAGACGTTCTACGTCTGGATATTGTGTCTTAGTAGGAGGAAATTTGGTGTCTTGGAAGAGCAAGAAAGAGAATGTGGTTGCTCGGTCTAGTGCAGAAGCAGAATATCGAGCAATGGCTAGGGCCACATGTGAGCTAATTTGGATCAAACAGTTGCTCAAGGAGTTGAAATTTGGTGAGATTAGTCAGATGGGACTTGTGTGTGATAATCAAGTTGCTCTTCATATTGCGTCAAATCCAGTGTTCCATGAGAGAACTAAATACATTCAGATTGACTGTCACTTCATTAGAGAAAAGATACTCTTAGGAGATATTGCTACAAAGTTTGTGAAGTCGAATGATTAGCTTGTAGATATTTTCACTGGTTCTCGTATTAGTTATATATGTAACAAGCTCGGTACATATGATTTGTATGCACCGGCTTGAGGGGGAGTGTTAGATAGGTATGTAAATAATCCTAGTCCCATATGGAATAAGAGTAGAATATTGTATTGTGTATAGTTATAAATAGGGCTATTGTAAAATACTTAGTAGATATCGATAATAGATTTTTCTCCCGTGCATTCTCACAAGACCAATTAAACTTGAATTTCAATGACGATGTCCATTTTGTTAATTTATGCTAGTCAAACTAAGAAGGGCAGTCTAAGCGCAATGGTATTGTCGTTGTGTGGCTAGGAGGTTATGAGTTCAAAATATAGTAATAACCTCTTGCAGAAAGTAATGTAAGACTGCTTACGGTAGACCCATTTTGATATGTCCTTTCCAGAACCCTGGGGACAAGGGAAAATTTAGGGCACCTGGATACATATACCCTGTACTATTGAAAATAGTTTAAATATATCCTCCGTTTCATTATGTGGGTTCACTTAACCATTGTTCATTACCCGACCCAAGGCCCCCCCCACACCCCGCCTGCCCACAAACCCAAATCACTTATAAAAAGCCCGTGAATGAAAAAGAACCCTTGTTTCACCTCTCCCACTTTGTCAAATTACGCGAAAAAAGAAGATTGAAAAACATATCAAATTACTGTTGGAATCTCAAATTCCTTTTTCTATTTAGATTTTGAAATCTTCTCTCTTTTCTTCCTTTTCACTTCACCAGTATACCCACCTTGTAGCTGTCCCCTTCTCAATGCTTTAAACTCCAAATCGCTCCTTGTGTATAGCCAAAGCTTCACCGAAGCGCCCAATTTGCTTTCTCACTTGAGAAGGATCAACATCATAGAAAGTCGGCAAAACTATTTGATTTAGCTTCTCCCTGCATTCAAATTTTAACAGAACAATGGTGAACGACATGGAGCTAAATCAACTTTTCGAAATTACTAGCAAAGCTCCTGATGCTGCACCAAAGTAGTCCGTAAGTATTATTCCAACAATGCCACAAGATTCCAGTTTAGGGAAAAGGACGGCGATGCTCCAGTCACCCGTCGCATTCGATTTATGGGAAGAAGCTGGTTGACGCAGTCGTGATCATGCTCTTCTTCCTTATCAATTGATATAAGGGTTCTTTTTCGTCCAGGGGCTTTTCTTAATTTTGGGGGACTTTGGGTCGGGTAATGGGTAATGTTTAAGTGAACCGGGTTAAAAAATTGGGATGGGTCTTTTTAATCCCATGCAGCCACGTGACACTCGGTCCAAAATAAGGGTATATTTGTACCATAGTATAACGGCAGGGTCCGAAATAACCACATAGTGAAACGGAGGATATATTCAAACTATTTTCAATAGTACAGGGGTATACTTGGCCCTTTACCGTTATATTAATCAAACTAACTTTTCAACCATCATTTGATATTTTCTTCCCTTGTACTCAATATATAAAGCCCAACTAATATCTTAAGCTCAGTGTCTAGTCAAGTGACGCCACATAAAGGGGACCACGAGTGTAATTTGTTTCTCGTGCAATGTTGGAGTACCTCTTTTTCAAGGGCAAGCAGCAATCAAGCTGCTGAACCCAAACTGAAGATACTTCCGTGTTCGGTGGAGCTCTATATAGGCTTTAGTTTGGTAACTCATGAGGAACTGAGCAGAACCTACTTGGGTTGAATTGGTATGCAGCCCTCTCAATGCATCCTAGTCTCTGTCCTGTGGATGGTGAGCTTGTGTTCTTAACATTTAGTATTGCTCAAAACTTTTTCCGTCTATGTGAGTCAGAGGGGTCTTCTCTTCTCTGTTGTGCTTTCATGCAGCCAATTCTAGTGAACATAGAGAGGTCTTTATGTTTATACTAGGTTTGGATGGAAATGGGCATCTCTTCCATTTCTAGCTATGGAGTATTACTTCGCCTATCCAAACCTTTCTCCTTTGAGATGGCTTTTGATTATCATCTTTTTTTCATTTCCATAAAATCAGGAGAACGCATGATGGATTATATGAATTTGGATGATAGATCAATTGGGATGTTTTGGGTTGTGTCCTACACAATGGCCCAGCCTGCTTGTGAAACTGTGATGCACTGGTTAACCTCCGCTGGGGTTACTGAGCTTTTACCTGGACCAAATTTGCAGTCTAACGAGAGGTTAATGGTGATGCGTGAAGTTAGCCCCCTGCCAATATCATTGTTATCAGGATTTTCCACAAATTTGTGCTTGAAACTGGCTTTTCAGATGGAAGAATCAATGTTTTCTGGACAGGTACTTACTATGGTTTCCTCCTGTTGGTCTTTTCCAAAAGTAAAAAGAAAAAAGGATTTTTTTTCTCAAGCTTATGGATCTCAAGATCACTGATCAATTCATCTACATGCCTTCTATATATATATATAAAGTTTAGTACTCGAGCAATACTATACGATTTTGTCAATGGATTGGTAGGTCTCCCTTGTCCACTCTTTCTTGTGGTTTTATTTGCTTTGATCATGTTGTTTGGAAGGGATATTATCCGTTCACATTTACTGCAGCTTTATTATCATACTAACTCCACTCTGACTAAGAGCAAGCCAGTATTTCCCTGTTCCCTTTTTCTTTTGAAGGTTCATCGTACCAGTTGTGAATGCTTAATATCATTCTATCATTTTTGCAGGCTGTGCCTAGCATTGCTGTGGTTGAAACATACTGTAGGTTGATGCTCATTTCTCCCCATTCGTTGTTTCGCTCACTCTTAACTGTAACTTCTCCTCTTTTCCCTCCTAATATTCCTTCTTTGGTATTTAATTTTTTGGCATGCCACTGCATTTTCTCCGGAACTACATTCATTGTGTTAATCCAGTAAGCGAAAGAAACCTCCTGAGAATGTCACTACTGGTTATGTGCCAAATTTGCTATAATATCTGTACTAGTTACTTTATCATGGTTCAGTACTATTTTGCTTCGTAACAGTCTAAAAGGCAAATGCTATTGTTGAGTTACTCCACCAAATATAACTTATCAATTGGATAGTCTCCTCTGATTTCAGACATCACGCTCTAGGTTGAGAACAAGTATTTATGAAGAATCTGTTGCTTGCTCCTCTCACTGTGTCTCCATTAAAAGTCTGAAGCGAAATTCTCAGATGAGTAGCATGCCCCAAAACAATGTTTCTTTGTATTTTAGGCCTTCAACTATTGGATGTATTAAATTCATCAAGGAATAAAATACCATGATTGGATAGGCACAAAGCATTCCTTGATGATATTTTACCATTATGAAAGGTGATGGCTAGCATTGTTTTTAAAAGCGAAAAGCACAAAAATTGACGAGATACCTAGGACTTTGAAGTGAAAAGCGAGACGTAAAGCGCAGAATTCACGACATTAAAAGAATACCAAACATTTATGAATTCAGTACTATAATGATTAACCTGCAATTACAGTAACTAATTTTTAGTATCTGATTTACAATAACATTGGTATTCATCTTACTCCTCAAAGTTGAGATTCAAAGAACAGACCCCTTCTCATAGGGATCGCTTTGCCTGTCGTTGTTTGGAGTGCATAGTTCTATGAAGTGCATGGTTTCAGTGATGAAGTGATATCCCTTGCTTCGCATCGCTTCATCTCTTTAAGCAACAAAGCGGTGGCTTTTTAATAACACTGGTGGCCACTCAGGCCGTACTCTGCAATGATTTTTTACTTCCCAAATATTATCTGAAATTTAAGCTGGTGTTTCATGAAAGCACTTCACTGAAAGAGATGGTATTTTACAGGTTGTAAACACTTTAGAGTTGATGCTAGTATAAGAATTTGCCGAAGATCAAAATAAGCTGAAATTTCGTAATGATTTTTGATTGTCTTTGCATCACTGACATTAACAATCAATCTTTATCTTGTAGATATAAGAATTGTTTTTGGGGCTATAATATTGTGAATGGTTTCGCTGTGCCTTTATGCAATGAATATGTTACATGTGTGGCACTTTAAGTGCTTATTCAGTCAAGTAGCAGAACTTTTGTCCTGCTGTGCGATGTCATTAGCTTGTCCTCGGCCCTAGTAACCATAAAACTGGAATTTTCTCTTAGTCTCCATAACACACATTTTATGAGTTATTTTTACTTATCCGACTTGATCATCTCTTTGTTATTGTGTTGTAATGTACAAGCTATTTATTGTTACTATTATTACTATTAGCCATCTTTGTCGTACTACTACTAGGTAGAGAGAATCCAAACCAATTTATTATTGCTGTAAGCAAGATTAGATCTTTGGTATTAGTCGCAGATTCACATTAATTGATAGTCCAAATTATCCCCTTTTAATGTCAGTGTTTATACAATGTAATATACCAAATTATATATTTTTGAGTATTTTTTTTCTTTTGGGATTAGTTGAGAATCTTTTTTTTTTCCTCTTAAGATTTTGAGCAAAGAGTTATTATATTCATAATGCTGTTGCAAACGCGAAAAGCATAAGTGGTCCACATCGAGAAATGTAAATTTAGACATCGAAAAGTGTGTTTATAGAAATTGTCGGCTTAAGACATTTGTATTCATTTTCTCCAACCTGTTCCCCTTTTTTCTCTATTTTTCCACATGATATCAAAGCTTTGGCGAGAAATTATGTGATGTATCGTGAAGATATTGTTGTTGTGCAATTTTATGACGGTCACATCTGATTGAGGTTTTGTCGTCTTCTGTGAGCTGCTGTTCTCAAATCAGCACCACCATCAGTTTTTGGACATTTGTGAGAGCATAACCCAATAAATGAGCTACCATGGAACCTCAACTTACTATAATAGGAACCTCGACACGCCTCGAGAACTGTCTGAGATTTGCCCACATGTGCCAGTGAGTGCAGCATATTGGACTACTTTCATCCCATGACTCCAGCACTCTGTTGATCGACTTATAAGTTTGATTCAACTCATTCTAATTTCATCTCTTGTCAGTGCAAAAGACCCTAGACCGATGAAGGCCCAAGAGCTTATCAGTGAGATTTTCTCAGTGAGTGAAGGTCACAAGCCAATTCCCCAATGTCTATTAAACTAAGGTGGTAGTGCAAAAAAGGTTAATTCACTCTGGGATTGGTAGTCCCAGGGGACTTCACTATTTCTTTCTGCACGGTGGAAATGGACTAAGATTTTTGCACTTGCCCAGCTGATTTTCAGAAGCTTTTGACTGTTTTTTTTTTTTTTTTTAATTTTTTTTTTCCGGTTACTCAGAATTTCTCTACGAGTTTGTCATTGTCTCTCACTCTGTGATCAAAATTTTGGCATCATCTTGGTCGACTTGAACTTTTGACTCTACGCATGCCAATTCTAGAATTTTCAGGCTGCGAGAGACCTAATTAAGCAGCCTTCAATCAATTATTTTGGGTGTTTATCGCATTTCTCAGCCACTGTTAGTCACTTTTCCGGCATCCTAGAAGTTGAGTCATTGTAGTAACCCTTTCCATTCAATTTCCAGTATCCTTCAATGAGTATCGGATGGTTATCAGACTAGCTATTTTCATTATGGTGAATTTCCAATTTCCCACAGCTTAATAAGCATGCTCGTTCCTCTGAACAGCAAATGCTTACTGAATGTGTTTAGTTGGCTCAATCAGGTCCCTGTATCTAGCTGTGAGAACTTTTTGGATTGTGTCTTCTCCTTAGCTTTAGATTAGTTTTTGTATATGAGCAGGCACCATCAAGCAGTACTGTAATTTTTGCATCTTTTACTCTGCATCTTCTTGATGCTTATTAATGATAATTCCCTTGCTTCTTCAAACAAAAACAATGTTTGGGGTTGGTTTTATCTATTTTGTTAACTTTAATGATGATATTTAACATGTACTGGATTTTATTAATGCAAGGCCGTTCTATGTTGTTTTTCATCTTCCAGACATTTTGTACAGAAATACAAATTTATTTTGGGGTCTTTAGTCACCTTTTTTGTAATTGTAATGCACCAGGAATCTTTTCAGTTTCAGCAGTTTATGAATTTTCGTGAAAGTCATCAGACCTCCTGCCTTTGTACGGATCTTAATAACTGAGATAGTTAGAGGAACAATGAGATCTTATTGAGACCTAGAAGAAGATGGCTCAAATCAGGACCAAGTTGAATCAAACAAAAGTAGTAAACGCAAGCCAACAACTGTAGCGATATTCTTCAGCTCGTCTTAAATCGACAAAGATGGTGTGGAATCAACAGTTAAAACAGTAGGAAGTGGCTAGAAATGAGATTCCTTATTTGTCGACTATTGTTGAGGTCAAAGACATTAATGGAGTGAATGAAGAAATCCTGAAAGATGAAGAACCTGAAGCTAAGGTCAGCGGAGAAGGATGATAAAATGGGTGCTAACTGCTAAGGCATTGCTCCTAAAACTCAGACCATTGCTCCTAAAACTAAGGTAATTGGCATTACAGGTTTGAAAATAAACCAGAAGAAGGGAAAGCAAAAAGGTGTGGGAGGATTAGAGGAATTGGGAGAAAAGAGGGTGAGAAGGGTGGGGTGGATAAAGGGGCCGACCAGGAATATGGGGATTTTGGTATACTCGAAGAAAATGTATCTGGAGAAGTAAACTGAAATAAGTTACAAAGATTGAGAACCCTATTTTGCACGAGAGGTATTTTTCAGCATTTCTGAAATAATGCCATAAGTAAAAGATGTCTATGATGGAGTTAAGGAAGTAGGTACTCAACTTCATCGAGAAGGAGGGTGGATGTTGGGGTTATTTCAAAGTTCAACAAAAGTAACTAATATGTCGTGTGCGTAGCAGGAACATATTGAAGGGCTGCAACAATGTCATACTGCTGTTGGAACGGGTTAGGACTAAGAGACTTGGGAGGTAAGAGAGGAAGCAGAGGAGGATTATGTAAGGGCAAAGTTAACTGAGAGAGGTATGAGGAAGTTGGAGACAGGATGAGAGAGGTCAGTTGTGAAGTATGGACAGAAAAAAGAGATTCACAAATATAGGACATATTTTGTTAAGCAGCATTATGGAAGACATAATTAAGTAAATAAATGTGTGCTTTCTCTAGCTTAAAGCTTTTAGGAGATGGTCAGGCCATTCAGTAAGTATTATTGCCTATCCTACACCCTACACCAACATGACTCAATGCAAGTGCCTTTCCTTTTCTTTTAAATAATTAAGTAGCTTCATAACACAGTCTTACTGTAGCATAGGCCTTCCTCGGGCTTTGTCCTTCACCTGTAGGCAGTGACTTCCTTTCACTATCCCCCCTGCAAACTGTGTGGTTACTATACTAGTCGGTTTTAGTACCAGAATAGCGACATTATTGTAGAAGCACTTAAGTTCCGTATTCTATCGTTCAGTGGGTGGTTCATCTTTTGATGGGAAATCGGTGTAATATGTTAGTGAATTTCCTCTAGTTTCTTGCTAATTCGGATTAATTGTGGCTTCCCATTATGGAATGCTGCTAGGATTTCTTTCTAGGCAGTTTCATTTTCTTGGTAGGAGACATGGTTAGTCTAACTTGTGTTTTTGTTTGCACACTTTTCTACTGGAGTTCATTACGTTTTGCTCTTGATGCAAACTTCTATTGCAGCATCTAACATCGAGGAATCCCACCACATTGACCAAGCCTGGAAACACGATCTTGGTGTTTGAAATTCTTAACTATCGTTTCCTTTCACTCTACAGGTGAGTGAAGTTACTCATCTTGGGAATTCATCAGTTTCTTCTCTATTATCTATATTCTCTACTTATGTCTGTGACTGATGATCAATGTTGCTTTTACTAAAGAATAGTACATTCACATTTGTACATATAGATAGCATTACCATCTTTTTGCACCTCCTCAATTGTTAGGATTCTGTAACTTGATTCTCTAAATAACTGATAAAAAATAAAGTCAATAAACTTCTTCCTTTTCTAGGTATCAAGGCAAGAGCAAGACCTTGATGTATGATGTCACCAAAATGATTTCTACACTGAAAGGGAAACGTGGAGATCATCGCATTTTCCGATTGGCTGAGAATTTATGTATGAATCTGATTTTGTCGTTGAGAGATTTTTTCTATGTGAAGAGGGAAGGGAAGGTAGGAATATTTCTCCAGCTGAACTTTTGTGCATGCTCTGTAACTCAAATTATAACTTTTTCTGAGCTACTCAATGCANGAATGCTCTGTAACTCAAATTATAACTTTTTTATGCAGGGTCCAACTGAGTTTACTGAGACTTTAAATAGAATAACAATTGTTACTCTTGCAATCATAATCAAAACTTGTGGAATCGGGGAGTTTGATCAGTTACTGTATCTTCAGACAATGCTAGAACAGATTCTAGCAACTAGCCAGCATACCTGGTCTGAGAAAACTTTGCGCTACTTTCCTTCAATTTTACGCGACGCTTTGAGTGGGCGAATGGATAAAAGGGGCTTGGCAATCCAAGCATGGCAGCAGGTACATGAAATGGTTCCTCTTCGTACGAATTATCTGAAGCTTTAAACCTTTTTCCCTCTTAGGTGCATGTTTCTTTGTGTTTTATGGGTTTACTTATTCTTCATACGTTTCCGCATGTCACTTTGGTAGAAAAGGTCATGACAGATGTTGAGTTCATGAAATGGAAGGAAAACCTGAGTCAAGAAAAGTTTGCACTAAAGTAGAAAAAAAAGAGAAGGGTTCTAAACTGCACCTCGATAGTCTTAAAAGCATCAGTAGAAAATATGACCCGAAAAGACAAAATATCTCATCCTAGATACATAATTTGTGAGTGCTAAAAGATTTATCAATTTTTTTTGCGTATTTAAAAGTTGATACAGAATGATGAAGCTCATTCCTTAATCTAACTAGTTGTTTATTACTCCCTCTATTCCATCTTATGTGTCACCGTTTCCTTATCAGTTCTTCCAAAAAGAATGGCACATTTTTCATATTTGGAGACAATTTAACTTGAAATTTCCCAAATTTACCCTTAACGACATGGTTCTTAGACACATATATGCTATGCCATGTTTAAGGCCACAAATTTTAGAGGTCTTTTTTTTTCTTTCTTAAATTTGGGTGCCTAGTCAAACGCCAGCACATAATTTGAAAAAGCGGAAGTACTTATTTTACTCAAGTTATTAATATTTATTCTGTCAGAATTACCTGTGCATCTCATACGGTTGCCAGTTTTAAATGCTAAATGTTTGCATAAGCCCTAACATATTTACGTGATGCCATGAAGAGCCTGTCTGATAATTTTTATCAGGACTTAAAGCTGAACAATTAAGCAATTAGATTTTAGATGTGTTTGACAGTGTAAAATGGAAATCACTTACCACATTAAGTGCCAATTAAAACCTTTACAGCCTCAACATCGTCCATAAGTAGAGATTTAAATAGCAAAATTCTAAGAAACCATATAATCATTTATTATGGGAAGTGAAGTGCTTATTAAATTTATGGTTGTTGGTTGCATATTAAATCATAGAGAACAACTCAATTTTGCATTTAGTGGTAGTATTCAGTATTGGCTAGTCAAGAACTCCCATGTGCAAAAGATGAAAGTAGCAGAAATAATGATGTTGAGATGGATGAGTGGGTGTACCAGGAGTGATAAGATTAGGAATGAAGTTATTCAGGACAAAGTGGGAGTGGCCTCCGTGGAGGACAAGATGCGGGAATCAAGGTTCGGGCACGTTAAGAGGAGAAACATTGATGCTCCTGTTAGGAGGTGGGAGAGGTTGGCCATGACGGGTTTGAGAAGAGGTCGAGGTAGGCCAAAGAAGTACTAGGGAGAGGCGATTAGGTAGGACATGACACTGCTTCAGCTGGCTGAGGACATGACCCTTGATAAGAAGGTGTGGAGGTCGAGGAGTAGGGTAGAAGGTTAGTAGGTAGTTATAAGTTTCTCCTTTTCATACTAGTAGATTTAGTAGCACTCATTGTCACACCCCTTTTTTTACCAACTTATCCTCTTAAAATATATAAAAGAGATTTGTAAAGCTCAAAATAAAGGGTTTTTAATTAAAAGTGACAAAATTGTGTTCAAAAAGTTTTTTTAGAGTCGCCACCTGACATTGATTTCGGTGTGCTAGGTCACCTTTTTTTATAAAAATGATTTTTCCTTTTAAAACATTTCAGACTCTAAACTAAGTCTGCACCAAATATTTGAGTAAGGGGGTTCATTTGACTCGAGAAGAAGGTGTTAGGCACTCCCCAAGTCCCGTAACTAGTACGGTTGCATACTTGATCTAGTCGGCTTTTAAAATATTCGAATTGAGGTAATAAACACAGAAATGGGAAAATTAACACATAGGAGGCTCGAGATCGTCCCCACCTAATAAAGGAAAATAAAAAAATAAAAATGAAATAGAAATAGAAGTACTACGAGTTTGCTTTCGGCCTCCAGTTACAGAATACTACGGGGCATTCCCCGGAACAAAGTGTATACAAATCCTTCGGGGTATTCCCCGGATAAATTTAACTACGGGAACGACTTCTCGCCTCAAAACTAACAAAAATCCTAAAGTTTGCCTACTAGGTGTGGTCGGCCTAAACATGTTACTAGCGAGTCGAATAGAATAAAATACAAAAACAGTCAAAATATTCTTAAGCCTAACCTCTTCCTTGCTTCACAATAATATCCATTTTTCGATTTTAATTACCATAATTAAACCCAGCAACTCAAAACCAGTTCATTTTTCTTGTTCCAAATTGAAGAATCAGTGATTCAAGCGTAGCAACTACTCAATTGAGAATAAACTAATACGCAAACGATAATATCAACCACGACAGAATTTCATGATGTCGTTCAACAAGCAGCAAATTTAAGAAAGATAGAAAAATATATGTAAAATAAATTGCAGGAAGAAAGAGAAATTGGACCTCAATATAGCAGAAATTTGATTGTTTCACTTCTTTGAATTCAAAAACGTAACGAATCGCGGATGGGAACTCGAATTGGCACCGGAAGGCTCGAAATCAAAACGATCTCAATCAAACTCCATCGGAACCCAACAACAACAACAAACCAGTATAATCCCACTTAGTGGGGTCCGGGGAGGGTAGTGTGTACGCAGACCTTACCCCTACCCTGGGGTAGAGGGGCTGTTTCCAAATAGACCCCCGACATCCTTCCCTCCAAGAACTTCCCACCTTGCTCTTGGGGAGACTCGAGCTCATAACCTCTTAGTTGGAAGTGAAGGTTGCTTACCATCAGAGCAACTCCATCGGAACCCATGGTTTCAAAATTGAAAATCAGAAGAAGAAGAAGAAGCAGATATGAAAAGCCGGATCTGATTGAGCAGACCGTGAGTGTAGCAGTGCTTGAGCCGACAATGAAAAATTCTCTGCTTTTTGTGAAATCTCCGATCGTCGTTTCTGTTTACTACTGGAGTTAGAGTATTATTTTTTAGCAAACAAGGTCCTAATTAATGTTTTCCTTTTGAAACTTTGAAAGAATCCCAAGAATTCACTCGATATTTGGCCTCAAATTCCCATCCCCTCTCATTCTCGTTCTCTCATCGTTGCTGCTATTTGTTTGTGCCTAAATGATGTAACCACACTTTTATTAGAATTATGTTGCAAACTTTTTGGTCCAGAACACAATGCACCATAACCAGAGGTGTTTAATTTAGACTCCTTGTTGCTTCCCGTGGCACTAGATGAAGACACGTTTTATAACCTGGCTTTCCGTCTCAGCTTAGAAGCTGCTTTGTTTGCTATCTATATGTGTGTGTTCTCGGTTAAGGAGTGACGACTGTTTGTGTTCTTAGGTCTTCTATCTGCAAGTGAGGTGCGGCTGATGCTAGGTCTTTTAGGGTGTCTCTAGGGTCTTGTTTTAGGTTGTAATTAGGTAGATATATGTGGGTGGGGATTAGTTTTGACCATTGGATGAAAGGGAGTGAATGACTAGGATTAAGTTAAAAAAAGCTGATGGGTTAAAGGGTTTTGGGCTTCATATTTGGGTCTTAAAATTGGACTAAAAGAAAAATGTCCTAACCATACCTTTTAATATAAGCTAAATATACTACATATTGTAAAAACTATCCAATTAATTAAACTAAATTATATATAAAATATGAAACTATTTTTTTATATTTTTCAAATGTCAAACTAAAATAATAACAAGATTAGATTAAAATCATCGCAAAATTAAGATAATACTACTACCAAAACACTAATATCATTGAAAATAAAGTGTGACTATTTTTGTATTTTCTAATGTTATGTAAGGTAGATAAACTAAAAACAACAAGATAAAATATCATTAACCTAAATAAAAGAAAATATTTTTGTAATTTTTATTTTTCTGACAAAATAAAGGAAAATAGTTTAAACTAGGTAAAATAGCGATATTAGGCCTAAACTAAATATCTAAAAGCTAAAATGAGTAAAAACTCGGGGAGGGTAAAAAATTACATGTCTACAACTGCCCCTCTTTGACTGGAAACACGAAGAGTTTTCTGACAAAGAACGTCGAGACAAGTTTTTTGATCCGACCCTTATTTAGAGAGACCAAAAACTAAAAGAAAAGAGAATGTGATCGAGCACTGGTATCTGAGCTGCCTACATATCTTTGGCTATAAAAGAATCAGGCCACGTGTAGTTCAGAAGTAGGAACAGTGTTGGAGTATATCGACGTGGAGAGCCGATTGAAGTGCCGTTCCGTTGAGGTTCCGGTCTGCAATCCTGTTATTACATCAAAATAAAAAAATGAAAAAGATTAACTAAGCTTGTCAGCTATGAGTTACAAAATTCCTATCTATAAGTCTTCTGGAGCTTGATCTTGAGTCTTGAATGGTTCTTCATGCAGACTTTAGATTTGAACCGTGACGCTCGCTAACTGTAGGTGCTAGTTCATTCTTCTTCAGCTTTTTCGGATCAAGACCGGACATGTAGCGCTCGTGACTTCAACCACATCTTGAGCAGTTCACATTTTTTTTCTGCTTTTTGCATTTTGGATTCACCCTTTTTGTTTGGATTGAGACTACTTGTATTGGTCACCTCGGACTGTTGACTCGCATTCTTGCCGCGAGCTTCTGCTACTTCTAACTTGAATTGAATTCTGAAATGACTTCCCTCGTTCTCTAGGTGGGTGCCTGCTACTGACTTGAAACTTGAAATAATTCCGAAACGAATTTTCTCGTTCTCCGGGTGGGTGCCTGATTGCCAAAACTTGAAATAATACCGAAACGAATTCCCTTATTCTCCAGGTGGGTGCCTGCAATCAAAACAGCAAAACAAACAATTTTCTGCCCTAGTTTGTACTAGGAAGATTTGTAAGTTGTTAGCAAAACTGTAAATCACCTATGCTATTGATGCAATGATGAGAGTAAAACTAAAGACTTGACTGGGATGTGCGTCTCCTATTAATCAAACCAAGAATATTTGACTAGCAAGTGCGTCTGCTAAGAATAGAACCTGAATGACCTAGACTAGGAAGTGAGTCTCCTAGATTTAAGATTGAGCTTTGCGAAAAACTATAAACTAAGCTTGACTAAAGTAAAAACTGACCCTATTCTCCAGGTGGGACC